CACACACACAAAAAAAAAATCACACACACACAAACACACACACACACACTCACACACACACACACACACACACACACACACACACACACACACACACACACACACACACACACACACACACACACACACACACACACACACACCGCGCGCGCGCGCGCAGCGCGCATCTAACATCACACGCCATCAACACACATTACACAGCTAGGAGGGGGGGGAGCCAGTAAGGAGGAGGAGGAGGAGGATAGTCGAGGCTGTACAAATAGGGCACGGGTGAAGTGTTACCGTTTTCGTACCCTACGAAGACGCATGAATTTAATGGGGCTGGGTAAGCACCTCTTTCAATGGCATGTAATCTCGCTTGCGCCCTCCCGCCCCACTATGGTTACGGAAGCCCTTGCCCCGAAAACAAATGGTAACAGACAGCTGGCGGCGCGCGGAGGGGGGGCAAATTGTAACAGGAAGCTGGCGGGAAACTACACACGCACGTTATAAGCTACTGTTATACTACGGCGTGCCGAATGCAACATACTATGAATGCGTAGTGGTTCTAGTCTGTACTGGCTCGTTTTCCTTGCATCGTCGCAGGAGTGGCCGGGGTGAAACCGCTGTCGGCCGACTGCAAAAAGTGAATGCCGTCGCCGCCTCGCGGGGTGCGGCGGGTGGGGTCGTAGCCGCCATATGCCTGCATCTTGGGCAGGCCATGCAGATCAGATGCTTATCCCCTGGGGGTCGTAGCCACCGTCTGCTTATGACATGGGTCCGCCGTGCAGGTCAGATGCTTACCCCCTGGGGGTCGTAGTCACTAGATGCTTATCTCCCCTGGGGGTCGTAGTCACTAGATGCTTATCTCCCCTGGGGGTCGTAGTCGCCAGATGCGTATCCTATGGGGGTCGTAGCCACCAGATGCTTACCTCCCCTCGGGGTCGTAGTCACCAGATGCTTATCTCCCCTGGAGGTCGTAGCCACCAGATGCTTATCTCACCTGGGGGTCGTAGCCACCAGATGCTTATTTCCCTTGGGGTCGTAGCCCGTTGATGCTTACCTCCCATGGGGACCGTGGCCACCAGATGCTTATCCCCCTGGGGGTCGTAGCCAGTTGATGCTTACCTCCCCCGGGGATCGTAGCCACCAGATGCGTATCCCCCCTGGGGGTCGTATTCAGTTGATGCTTATGCCATGGGTCCGCCGTGCAGATCAGATGCTTATCCCCTGGGGTTCGTAGCCAGTTGATGCTGATGCCCTGGATAGGCCGCAGCGATCAGATGCTTGCCCCCCTGGGGGTCGTAGCCACTAGGTGCTTATGCCCTGGGTGCGCCATGCAGATCAGATGCTTATCCCTTGAGGGTAGCAGCCTGTTTGAAGCCTCCGTCGTTCAAGCGTGGTGCCCATCGGTTTAGCTGTCTACTGAATTTATGTTGCAAAATACATGGCTGTGCCTAGCCCGACATGACAAATATTGTTGTTGTGCATTGCGTTGTTCTGTCGGTTTGGGCGGGCCGCACTTGAACGACGGCCAGTGGCCGGGTGATTCCGCCCCCATCCCCCTCCCCCTCATCCCCCCCCCCCCTCCTCTGCTGCATGTTGTTCAAGTTTTCTTTTGGCTCCACTGACCAAGCGTCGTCGACGTCGCCGAGCATGGCCATCGTGACCGCCTCCGCCGCCGCCGCAGCAGGCGACGAGGTGCCTGCGTGGATTCGGGGGGCCTGCGACGTCTTCGACGCCGATGTAAAGTCGTTGGATGATGTGGTTGGCAAGACGCGCTCCTTGCAGGAGAAGAGGGGGTTCGTCGACTAATGGTTCATGAGGGGCACTGGCGACGAGCTGATGCGCCCAGTCACGTCGAATAACGAATGGGCTTTCAAGAGGGGCGTCGAGAACAAGGGCAGAGGCGACAAGGGCAGCGTTCAGAAGCGGAAGGAATCGTTCCTGCGGTCTGGGATGCTGCCCACGCGAGGTGGGCCCTTCCTCTGCGAGCGCGAAGATCCCACGAGGACAGAGGAGTACACGGTTGGAAACTGGGTTACTTTCTTGGAGGGTTGCGAGTGCGTGTTCCAGGAGAGCCCGGACCACCCGCACATGATAAAGATGATCAAGGAGGGCGTCGCCCATGCAAGGGTGTATGTTCGGCGAACTCCAGCGTATGCAAGGAGCTTCATTGCCGAGCTGGGCAGCGCAGAGGCTGACGTGGTGACCCTCACCACCCCGATCGAGATGTGGCAGTGCACCGATCGCACCGTCGCCAGCTTCGAGGCGCACAAGGAGAAGCACAATATCACTGTCAAGTCGATGGGTACGCAGAGCCTCTACGAGGACGAGCACTTCAAGATCGCGAACACTGTCTACCCTGGACGATGGGGGACATCCAAGAACTACTGCATCAGGTGCGCTGCGTTCCGTAGGGATGCGCAGAAGATCGAGATCACGTCGGGGCCGTGCAAGGGCGACTCGCTGTGGGGGGCGATCGAGAAGGCGTTCCTGGAGCTCGGCGACTTCGCCAACATGGGCCCGAAGCTGGTGAAGAATGTCGTCCTGTCTGCCGATGCCCTGGTCAAGGTCGGGCGTCCAACGCAGATGGGTCGCCGCGAGCCACGAGCCCACCCTTCTCGTGCCCCGTGCATCCCTGCGCAATCTCTTCTGGGGCTGGCAAGTGTTGGCGTTTTTCTTTGCCAAAACACGATGCTGGTAATGGTGCCACTGGTGCCCGTCCCTGGGCCCGCGAGGGGCCTGGGAAGTTGGTGGTGGGCCGTGGTCAGTGTTAGACGCCGTCTGCGTTGGATGGCCGAAGGTCTTGAAGGACGTCCCTAGGGGGCCAGAGACTATCGTCGACATCCTCCTGATGATGATCCCCACCTCGGATGTGCTCGGCAAGAGCCCCCTCCTCCCGAATGGAGCGGGCCTCCTTGACATGACCCTGACCGACCAGCACGTTCGAGAGTTGCTCAAGACGATGGAGATCGCAGCAGTTTTCGAGAAGCTGAAGGATGGCAGCAAACTGACCAAACAGAAACAGACTGCGCTGCTCAAGAAGCAGGCCAAAGCCGACATGAATGAGGAGAAAAAGACGGAGAGGAAACTGGCCAAGGAGGCCGCCGACGCTGCCAAAGCGAAACCGACTTCTCGCGCCAAGGGCAAGCCAGACACCAAGAAGGCCTTTGAGGACAAGATCGCGCAGAAGATGCAGGCCAATGCCAAGCGGGGCGCGTTGTCATCTTCGTTGGCAACCCCCATCGAGGGCGAGATCGCGACCAAGGGGGTGGGGGTGGTGGTGGTGGTGGTGGTGGTGGTGGTGGTGGTGGGGGGGGGGGGGGGGGGGGGGCGACGGCGACGTGGGTCAGCTGAAGATCACCGACAAGGACAAGACGCGGCTCGAGTTCATTTACGAGACTGAGGCCTTGTCCACTCAATGGGGAGGGGGCTATGGGCTATGGGCTCTGGGTGTTTCTATGGGCTCTGGGCTCTGGGTGTTTCTATGGGCTATGGGCTCTGGGTGTTTCGGATGGTGTTGTCTTATGTTACTTCCGTTTTAAAGTGTGACCATATGTTGCCATAGCCCATTCCCCTTTATGGCGGACCACAAGGCGTGCCTGGCTTGGCTGGGCCAGCGCCAGGCCTTCAATGCCAGGTCCCTGAAGCTCGCCACGCTCGAGGCATGCTTCACGGGGAGCTGCGCTGTCATGATCAATGCCCCCCCCCCGCGTGCTCAAGGGCTGGTTTGCATTGCGACTGATGTTCCGCAACCACGTGTGCAGGAGTGCCAAGCTCCAGCCACGCCCCAGCGAGGAGGCTTGGAATGCATCCTTGTGCGCCGACGTGCATAGGGAGATCCAGGATGGCTTCTTCGGGGGGGTAGTGCCGAGGCGCCTGCCGACCGCGCAGCCACCGTCGATGAGTTCGTTGGTCTCATCCGAGCTTCGGAGACCGCGGAGACCGTCGCAGCCATGAAGAGTTTCTTCAAGCACCACAACACCAGCGCGCCGATCTCGACGCAATGCCTCCCCGCTCGCCTGGCCGACGAGGCGCTGATGAAGCTGATGGAGTTCTCGAACAGCTCTGCCGGCATGGGCGAGCCCGAAAAGGGGAAGCATATCGCAGTGTTTGCTGCCACTGGCGCTGCGGAGTCGGTCGTCGCGGAAGTCCCCATCGAGTGGGGAGGCGCGGTGAAAGCTTTGGAGTCGGCAAATCAGAACGGGCTCATCGAGATGTTGCCCCGCGACGTCGCGGACTCGATCGCAGAGATCGTCGATGTGAACACGAGCCTTTTGAGGGCCATGCGGTCCCAGCTCTTCTTCCACATCCTCAAGAGCATCGGTCCCATGACCTACGTCTCTGTGCCGCCTCCTGCTGCTCAGAAGGCTGCGAAGTCGGTGAGGTTACCTTGCCTGCCGATGCACTGCCAGAGGGTAGTCCAGGAGCTTTTGGAGTCCTACCACATCGTTATCTTCGGCAAGGATGCATTCGCGGATAAGCCTGCCTTCCTCTCCCAGCTTGTTACTGGCATGTCTGCGGAAGGGGGCTCGTTGGCTTGTCTTTCGTTGAGGCATCGGGTAAATGGATGTCGGAGCTTGTCGACGTGGATGCGTTTATTTGCGCCAGTGGAGGGCAATCTTTCTTGGGGAGGAAGACGGCGTTCCTCGACAAGATAAAGAGGGCCTCAGCCGAAGCGCTGAAGCGCCAGCTGGCGAGCGAGGGCATCAAGTTCAAGACGACCATCACCCGACAGATCGAGCTCTTCCAGTCCAATCGCGAAGCCGTTGTGAAGGAGATCGTGGCCGCGTACGACCAGATTCACCAGGCCGAGGCAGAGGCGGCCCTCCTCTACGCGAAGACATCGGAGATCGTGATCCAGCGACTTTCGGAGAAGCATGGGGGGCCACCTCCAGTCAGGGCCTCAGTGACGGCCGAGAGTAAGAAGGACGGCGACGGCGTCGCGGTGACCGAGGTGAATAACCCAGTGCTGACCACAGTCGGCAACTGGTGGAGGGCCCTGCTGATGCAGGAGGGGGCCGAGCAGCATATGATTCTCAAGGGCGTCGCGGCATCGGCGCAGATCTCGGGGGTGATGATGCACCACGTGGCCGCCTACGGCACCAGCCAATATGTCAGCGGCCTCTGCGTCAAGCACTGCGATCCTCGCGAGGCGGCTACGCCGAACAAGAAGATCAAGCTAGAGGTGCGCCGGGTGGAGATGGCCAACAGGAGCGACAAGAAGGACGTCAACCTCCCTCTCTGGGGCAGGGTGATCTGCCAGGGCGAAGCCGTGTCGCTCAACAAGGCCATGTGCTTGCCGATCGGCGACAACAATGGAGCTGGCCCGAAGCTTTACATCGAGGGCCTTGCCAACAACCTGCGGCGGAGCGACGGGTGCCTCGCTTGGGCGATTGCGCCGTTGCCTAGCAAGCGGCGGCGCGAAGGCTGAGCAGGCCGACGAAGGCAAACCCACCACCGAGAAGAGCGTCGTCAAGACGGAAGCAGGGGCCACCCACATCATCGACTACATGGACTTGCAGTGGGCGGTGGCCGACCAGACGTACACGTACACCTTGCCCTACCTGAAGGACAACCCCGACCACTCGGAGTTCTTCGGGAAGTGCTACAGGGCCACCTCGCCGTGGGACTTGGGCGAAGTGGTCAAGAGGGAGGGCACGTCGAAGGACGTCAAGACCTTCCTGAGCAGCTAAGCGGCTGGCTGCTGGGGCCAGGCTTGGAGACTCCGAGCCTGCCGAGTCTCAGGAAGCGGGCTGGAGTCGATAGACAAAATCCTGTCCCTGCTTATGCTCCTCGTTGTCCTCCAGGTGCGGCTGCTGATGGTGCTGATGCGCCTCCTCCTCCACCCCTTCCTCTTCCTCCCTCTCCCCCTCCCCTCCTCCTCCTCCTCCTCCCCCAACTCCTCTTCTCCTACTGCTGCTGCTGCTCCTCCTCCTCCTCCTCCTGCTCCTGCTGCTCCTCTTCCTCCCTCTCCCCCTTTCCTCCTCCTCCAACCCCTGCCCCTCCCCCCATCGCCCCCTCCCCCTCCTCCTCCTCCCGCGCGCGGGGGAGGGGGAGGGGGGAGGAGGAGGCCCTTTTGCGGTGCGATCGCTCTCTTGAGAAGCTGGGTGCTCTCATTCATATATCAGGGCCGCCGCCGAGAATCGCTGACAGAAAATGGTACCACTTGTAATGTACGAGTCTGCGTGCATGAGCCTCTTCGGGCCCACGGGGCCCAGCTGCTTTCACTCTAAGTTAGAGAACGCGCATCATTTTCGGGCGAAACAACTATTCCAGAGTTGGGCCCCGCAACATGTGCGACCTAATACCGCAGCCCCGATCTTCAAAGAGATAACGAATTTCGAGCCCCAACAAACCTTTGCCAGCCTTTGAATTTGCAATACCATCTCAACACAAATCGTACGGATGTTCGCAGAATCCAAACCCAAAATCCCCCCCACGATCCCGGGCAATATCGAGCGGCTTCGGGGACTGACCGAAACCGAAGCAGCTCGCGCGTATCTGAGCGTAACACAACAACTACAGGTACAACACGCCAGTTGTTCCCCCCTGTTTTTTTTGTTACTTTGGAACGTTTGTTGTGGGTTCACGCGGCTTGGGGGCATGCGTGTTTGCACCTGGATGTTGTCCAGGTGTGGACAGCTTCGTCGCCAGCAAAAGTGCGGGGTGCAACCACCTCAACTGGCGGCAGGGGGCGAAGCCCTTACGGATATGTATATGTATATGCACATGTAAATATAGTTATACAGGTGTATCTGTAGGTGTACTGGTACATGTATCTGTATATGTATATGTCTAGGTCAATGTATATGTATATGTATATGTATATGTAGATATACGTGCAAATGTATATGTATATGTACATGTAGGTGTACTTGTACATGTATCTGTATATGTATACGTCTAGATACATGCATTTGTATATGCATATGTATATGTATATTTAGATGGATATGCATATGTATATGTATATGTATATGTATATGTATATGTATATGTACAGGTATATGTATATGTATATGTAGATGTAAATGTATATGTATGTGTATATGTACATGTATATGTATGTGTATATGTATATGTATATGTACAGGTATGCGTCTGTGTATGTGTATATGCACATGTATACGTAGTTGTATGTGTAAATGAGTACGAATTTGTATGTACATATACGTAGATGTATACATGCATATGTTTAGGTATATGTTGATGTTTGTGTAATTGTAGCTGTACGTACATATGTGTATGTATGTGTACATGTAGATGCACATGTATGTGTAGATGTAGATGTATGTATGCACGCACACGTACACACATACATACAGAGATCTAACAGGGATTGCGGATGGGAAGCACGACGAGGAGGATGGTGATGATGATGAGGAGGAGGAGCAGGAGGAGGAGGGATGAAGGACGTGGGGTAATCGTTGAGGATGAGGCTTGTGAAGGAGGCGGTAGAGCTGTGTGACGAGGAGGAGGAGTGAGGTGGACGAGGAAAGTCATGACGATGATGACGATGCTGATGTTGTTGATGATGATGAGGATGCTGATGCTGATGAGGATTGAGATGATGATGACGATGCTGATGCTGCTGATGATGGTGATACTGATAATGCTGATGATGCTGTTATTGATGTTGATGGCCATGATGATGTTATTGATGATGATGATGATGATGATGATGATGCTGATGCTGATGATGATGATCTCCACTTGCTTGCTTGCTCGCTCGCTTACTTGCTTCACCAGCCAGCTACGTGTTCGGTGTCATAGCAGCGTTCTGCCTGCAGCGTGTGTGCCCACAAATATGAAGAACGTGTTCGGAGCTATTTTCAGGCTCGCCCAAAGCAACAGGGTCCTCTAGATGTTGGGCCCCTCCGCCAGCGCGGTGATGATCCTTCGCGTCCTCACGTACGATATGAAGCACATGTCTGCCGCCTCGTCCACGGACGCAAAGCTGGCGTATCGCGACCACCTCGTGGGCCTCGACAGCGCCTTCAGCGCCAGCTCAAGGTCGACTAAGGTCTCAAACTCTGGCAGAATACAAAGGTCATGTTGGACGACGCTGCTCAGTTCAATTCTTTCAGCGAGGAGGCTCCACGAGACGACCACCACGAGAGTGCAGATAAACTAGGCACGCCATGGCTGTTGGACCTGATCGCCTGTCGCCAATCGTGTTTGATGTGTTCTGCTTCCTGATGCGTTTCCCTATTTTCCTACCCAGGGATGTGCCCCCGCCCATGTACCTGCTGATCCTTGTGATGATCTTCTCTTATTTCTGCCAGGAATTTGTTATGCTTGCTGGATGCGCCGCCCCGATCAGTCCGCGGGGTGATTCACATCTGCTGCACCGTGGTGTTCCAGGTGGCCGCGGCGATGAAGAGGACGGCGACGCCTGTTACCCGAACCTCAAGGGCTAAGGGGGAGGAGGAGGAGGAGGAGGAGGAGGAGGAGGAGGAGGAGGAGGAGCAGGCGGAGGAGGAGGAGGAGGAGGAGGAGGAGGAGGAGGAGGAGGAGGATGAAGGTGAGGAGGAGGAGGAGGAGGAAGAGTGGGAGAAGGAGGATGAGGGGGAGGAGGAGGAGGAGGAGGAGGAGGAGGACGAGGATGAGGAGGATGAGGAGGCGGAGGAGGAAATAGAGGAATACACATAATCATATTCACAATACCAATAAGAAGACGAACCACCATAACCATGCTAATAATGTTAGTAATATTCATACCGACAATGATAACAGTAGTAATGCCAATGTAATGATAAGAATATATTAATAATATACTAGTAGTAATCATAAGAATGCCAGCCATACCATTATTACTCATGCTACTAATACTGGCTGGGAAACTAGTAATAACCTTAATTTTAGTAACGATGCGAGGAGGAAGATGAGGAGGAGGTTGTGGAGGAGGAGGAGGAGGAGGAGGAGGAGAAGGTTGTGGAGGAGGAGGTGCAGGAGGAAGAGAAGGAGGACGAGGAGCAGGAGGAGGAGGAGAAGGAGGACGAAGAGGACTAAGAGGAGGACGTGGAGGAGGGGGGGAGGAGGAAACGGAGCAAGAGGAGGCGGGGAACAACCAGGACGAGGAGGAGGCGGGAGGAGGAGGAAGGAGGAGGAAGATTAGGAGGTGGAGGAGAGGGAGGAGTAGTAGTTTGAGGAAAAGGAAGATGGAGGAGGAGAAGGAGGAGGAAGCTGGACGTCGCGAGAGGATTACGATGAAGGTGGTTGTGGCGGTGGTGCTGCTGCTGATGATGCTGATGATGACGACGACGGTGATCATGATGAGGATGAGGATGAGGATGAGGATGTGGAGACGGATGCTGCTGCTGATGATGATGCTGTTTTTGATGATGATGATGCTGATGATGATGATGATGACGATGGCGATGCAGATGGTGATGATGATGTTCTTGATGATGGTGATGATGACGATGCCGATGACGACGACGATTCCGATGACGATGATGACGATGACGATGACGATGATGATGATGATGATGATGATGATGATGATGATGATGATGATGATGATGATGATGATGATGATATGATGATGATGATGATGATGATGATGATGAGATGACGATGACGATGACGATGACGATGACGATGATGATGATGATGATGATGATGATGATGCTGATGCTGATGATGATGATGATGATGATGATGATGATGATGATGATGATGATGATGATGATTGTGGTGGTGGTGGTGGTGGTGGTGGTGATGATGGTGGTGGTGGTGGTGGTGGCGATGATGATGATGATGATGAGGATGAGGATGAGGATGAGGATGAGGATGATATTGATGATGGTGATGGTGAAGGTGATGGTGTTCATGATGATGAGGATGCGGAGGAGGAGAAGGAGGAGGAGGAGGACGGGGTGATGATGGGGAGGATGAGGAGTCTCTTACTGCTCCTGTAGATGCGAGCCAGAATGGTGTCAAAGAGTTCTTTTCGATGCTATGATCGATTGGCTTACTGGGTCGCCTCTCCCAGACAAAGCCATACACGCTTGGTTAGCGCTGCTTACGAATGGTCCTGGGTCTCCCTAGTTTCAGACCTCTCCCGGACACGCGCCCCCTCTCCTTGGGCAGTACAGACGTCAAGATCATCGCATCGGCCGTGAACTACCTGGTTGAGCCTGCAGTCAGCTGGAAGGCGGCGGACGCTCAGCGTGGATTTATCCACGGACTGTAGATGTTGGACAACGTCCTTGAGATCGAAACGCACATGGCGACGGCCGCCTTCTCTAGTGACACCGGCAGCGCTGCACGATGCGGCCAGCTACAAACACCCCAGCATGCTTGATGATCGACTTCGGGGCTGCATTCCCGAGTTTGTCATTGCGCTCTCTCTGGACGGTTCTGGAAGTCGTCGAAGTGCTGGCTGGGATCATACAGGCAGCCCAGCAGCTTTACATCAACAACTGCCACTTCTGGAGATTCGGCGGAACGGTGCCCCTCGTGTTTGACATAACATCAGGAGTGACGCAGGGTTGCCCTCTCAGCCCTATTCTCTTTGTCATCGCCATCGACCCGTTCCTACGTGCTCCGTCGTCCCACTTGAGCGAGAAGTTGTTGGTCTGGGAATTTGCGGATGACATTGCCATCGTTCTCGCCCATGTGTTAGTGGAGCATCCAGTTGTCAGCGGGCTGTTCCGGAAGCTTGCCAACATCTCGAACCTCCAAAGCAAAGCTCAAAAACGCGTTATCATCCCACTGTGGAGTATCTCCTTGGAGCGTTTCGCCTGGCTCGTCCAGGAGAACATCCCAGATTGGAGCCAGTTCGTGAAAGCGTTGTCAGGTAAATACTTGGGCTTTGTCTTGGGCCCTGGCGCCAGCGCTGCTTTTTTTCTGCCCCGATCCACAAGTATCCAGGGCCCCCAAACGGGGTGGTGACCTCACCGTGTGGCGAGTCGGCGGGGATTCGGGGTCAACGCACGGTTTTGGGACTCGGATCGTTCTCCGAGGACGTCTCGGGCGATTGGGGCATCCGAGGTCCCAAAACCGTGCGTTGACGGACCGTGCGGTGAGGTCTTGGGGGATTTCGAGGTCACCGCACGGTCTGTCACCACACCGTTTCTGGACTCCAAAAAGTACATCGCCAGAGTGGAGTACATACTCGACCTCTGTCTTGGACTTCCTGCTCCAGCACTGCTGTACAATGTCTTAGCTCTTAGCGTACTCAGTTTCGTCTTGGAGCTGGTCGCTCCTACTGGCGAGCTTCTCAGCACTGGGCGCGCCATGCTACGCAAACTGGTCCGGGGACCAGAGCACTGGCTGTCCAAAGCAGCGAGTGCAACCTCGACGCCTTCGGATTCCCAGCTCCATTTCGTTCTATCTCCGCCCTGCACCTCGCAGCTGCTGGGAGGGCAATGGCCGACACGTGCCCGCGATGGTATGAGCTCCATGCGAAATTACAGGAGAGGGTCCTCTGCGACGAGGCTCCTCTGATATGGCGATGGCAATCTTGGTTGAGCATTCTATCGGTGGTCACGCTGAGCTTCGCCCGTGATGCGTTGAGAGGCCGACGCATCTCTGTACAGGAAGGCCTTGATACGCATTCTCCCCAGGCGGCTGGATACTCTCAGTTGCATGCCAGTCTTCATGCCATTGTCGTTGAAGGTATTGTCTGTCGGCGTCTCGGCCGGTGGCGCGACGTCATAGGTCCAATATGGTTAGGTGCTACCGCCCAGCATGCGATTTTGACTCTGACTCGCCTCAGGGGCAAAGACCACCAGCTGCGGTTTCAGCATGTGTCCACACCCTTTTGAATGAATGGATTTGTGCCCAGCGCTTCCAGCGGCAGGCGCCGTGCTTGTGCTACACGGGAAAATTTTGCATCCGATTCGATAGAGCACTACTGGTGCTGCCGGGTCCTAATGGAGGCAGCCCGCTGGCACGCGCAGCCAGAGTCCTCGTCTGGAGGGCTTGCAGGGACCCGTGCAAAGAAGTAGCTGTTACACGTCTACTGTTGATACACGGCCACGGCCCACATGCGACACCAGGGCGACGCAGCGAATCCTGACTGGTTGTACATGTCGCGGCTCCGAGGCATCATGGAGTGTATGTAAAGTTCCTCGCACCTTCGAGCAGGTGGCCTCAGTTCGTGGTCATTCACAGCGGTACAGGCTCGCCGTTTGCCCTTGGTGTCCTCCTCCTACTCCTCGTCCTCCTCCTCTTCCTCCTCCCATCCGTAAGGGCTTCGCCCCCTGCCGCCGGCCCACTCTCTCGGATAATGGGCAATGCAAGAGCGAAATCATGAGGCCTTGGCGCCGCCGTGAAGCAGCGTCGGGACTTCACGCGAAGACGATGAGTAATCGGCAAGACAAATTGAGATTCTGATGATATTGTTGAATTCGGTGTTGTATTTCGAGATTGCTCGTGTATGCTGTGCAAAAAGCTTGTCCACGAAGTATTGGCATGTTGCAGATCCAATGTATTTTTGACCCTGACCCCGGCGATCTGCGTGAGGGGTGCCACCGAATTTCAAGAAATGTGGCAAATCCCATTGGTTTTTCGACCCTGACCCCGCCGATCTGCGTGAAGGGTGCCGCCGATTTTCAAGGAATGTGGCAAATCCCATTGGTTTTTCGACCCTGACCCCGCCGATCTGCGTGAAGGGTGCCGCCGATTTTCAAGAAATGTGGCAAATCTCAGGTGTTTTTGGACCCTGACCCCGCCGATCTGCGTGAGGGGTGCCGCCGAATTTCAGAAATGTGGCAAATCCCATTGGTTTTTTGACCCTGACTCCGCCGATCAGCGTGCGGGGTGCCACCGAATTTCAGAAATGTGGCAAATCCCATATGTTTTTGGACCCTGACCCCGTCGATCTGCGTGAGGGGTGTCAATTTCGATCTTCCAGAAATTTTGAGAACCCTCCCATGAGACGCTAGGTTTGCTGGTTTTCGGCTCCCCCCCTCGCGCGGTCTTACAACAAGGAACAGTAAGCAGTATAAAGCAACACTGTAACAGTGGAACCTGGAGACTGGAACTGGTGCAGGGAACAGCGAACCCTGGTCCTACAGCCTGGTGGCCCCACAAGGGGGCCGGCGGATTCCTCCTCCTTCCCCTTCTGCATCCTTGGTTTACTTCACAGGGGGGCTGCACCAACGAGAGGGGTCGTAAAGTTTTCCTTCTGAGCTGGCGGCCGCGGCTCGGTGTCCACCAGACAGCGTCGGTCAGCCGCCACAGGCGGTTGCATTTAAACAGCTTTCTAGTCGTCAAGACGGAACACTTTTTGGAACGCAGTTCCGTTTTCTGCCCGGCTCCATCCTTCTGCCAGGAATGCGTGTGAAGACGCGCAGGTCCGTGTTCAGTATCGAAAAAGAGAAGGATGATCAGGAGATGGAGGCCAGGGGGGGAGGGAGAACGATGTATACATTGACGGGGAGACGGATAAGGAGGTGGACGGGGGAGTGGGAGGAGCGGGCGCGCCCTGCCCCGAGCGTTGGCGGCGGGGTGGGCCGCTCGGCCGCGGGGCTCCCGCCCGCGGCGCCGCGCTGGCGCCACGGCGGGATGCCGGCAGCGGCGCGATGGCCATGCTCGGCGCTGCGGCGGCTGCTTCTCTCGTTCTCCTGCTGCCGCTGCCGCTGCGGCTCCCGCTTCCGCATCTCCCCACTCCTCCTCGATCCTCGCTCTTCCTCGCTCCTCCTCCGTGGACCTGTCTCCCCTCCTGTTGCGCCCGCTGCTGCTCCTGCTGCTGTTTTGTCGCGATCCTCCACGCGTTCCTGCTCCTCCATGTGCTCCCAGTCCTGCTTATGCTGCTGCTGCTCCTCTTCTTCCTCCTCCTCTTCCTCCTCTTCCTCCTCCTCCTCCCCCTCCTCCCAGTGACGCTGGCTCCTCGTCCTGCCTCTGCCTGTCTGGGACTCTCAGATCGTGCTCCGATCTTCAGGTGTCTCGGTCTTCTGCTGTCTGGCCGTCTCTCCTTCCCGTAACTGCTATTCCCTGCTGCTGTTGCTCCTCGTTCTTCTTGGTCTTTCCCCTGTTCCTACCCTCCCGTTCCCCTCCTCCCTCTAGGTGCCTCGTGTTCGAGCACGGCTGTGGCTGCTGGCGCTGTGCCCATGTTATTCCATCCCGACTATGCGCAGGGTATCTGGGGACGACCCCCTCAGGACTGCTGGGGAAGGGATCCTTGGCAGACAACGCACTCCTACCACTGCGCCAGCCTTTCTCCTTCTCCTCCTTATCCCGTTCCCCCTCCTTCCTCCTCCCCCTCCCTCTCAGTCTTTACCCCCACTTTCGTCTGCTGTCGCTGCTCCATCCCTCTTCCTGATCAGCAACTCCTCTTCGTCATGCCACTGGGCGTGGTGTCGCCAGGGTGGTTTGAGTGTTTGTCAGTCATCCATATGGCAAGCTACAAACCTAAGCTTGAACGTCTCAGCAGTTGAACGAGTGCAGGGCGTGCCTTTTTTTAATGTGGCCGTCGCCGTAGCGCCGTGCAAATGCTTACAGTAGCTACGCGGAAGGGCAGACTGGTTTGTTTTGTGTTGTTTGTTTTTTTGTGTTTAGTTGGTTTAGTGCAGTCCCGTCAAACGCTACATACATTCGCTCTCACCAGGTTGCAACATATACGTGGAGGGCGGTTCCATTTCAACATGCGGCCGCCGCCGTAGCGCTGTACACGTTCCTCGTAACAGTTTGCCGCAACTGCGCGGGTGGTCGGCGCTTTCTTTTCTAAACGTGGCTCTCGCTCCATGTTTGCCGAGGTTTTGTGAGGCGAGTGTGTGCAGTAATTGCACGGGTAGGGGTGGCTCCTTATCAAGATCGGGCTTTCGCTGGCCACTTCCCAGTCCAACAAGTGCAGCAGTTACACGGATAGAGCTTTTCTGCGTCACACCAGAGTTATCTCTTTGCCTTAGCGCTTTTCTTGAGTATATGGGCATCGTTCAGAACAGACCGCACCTAGGCATTTATGATGGTTTCCCTCTTCAACGCGTGGCTCTCGCCTGTATGACAGGTCCATCTGGCGGTCGCCTTTTAAGCGAACGCACGCCGTAGCGAACCTGATTACTGACGTATGCGGCAGGGATGTGGGACGGGTGGTGGTGCTGTTATAGCTTATATCATGTATGCAGGGATTGACATGATCCGCCTCCTCATCCTCCTCCTTACCCTCGCTGTCCCCTCGTTCTCCTTCTCTTTCCACCCCGCCGCCTCCTTCCCCGCCCCCTATATTACCCACCATCAACCATCCTTCTTTTGCCCCCCTCCTCTTCTCCTCTGCCTGCCTCCCTCAACCCGTCCTCCCTCTCCTCGTTCCGCCCGTCCCTCTCCTCATTCCGCCCTCTCGTCTCGCCCCACCCCTCGTTCCGTCAACTTCTCCTATCATGTTCCCACCGCCTTCCTATGCGCGAGAGGATAGCAGGCGCAGGAAACGCACGACAGAGAGAGAGAGAGAGAGAGAGAGAGAAAGAAAAAGGTGGCCTTAGCGATATGGGCATACACGTTGTAGAGAGAGAGAGAGGTGTACATGGGACACACATATACATCTACATCTACTGAGATAGAGAGAAAGAGCTATAGAGCGAAAGAGAGAGGGTATGGATATAGTGATACGAGGAAAGGGATGCATGTGTAGTTGTAGATGTGTGTATGTGGTCGTACATATACACACATCTATATATATATATATATATATGCGCATATACATTCATATTTGTAGATAGATGGTATACGCTAGGTAACGCATACGGCAGACCTGCAATATAATGGCTTTCGGCCCACTCTGCCAACGCGCCCAGGTTGTGGGTGAGAGGCCTCTTGGATGTTAATTGGGATCTCGTGGGAGGCCTTTGGTGGGCATCCTGGAGGCAGTTTTGATGCCTCTGGGGGGCTGTTTTGGGGCCTTTTGGGGCCTCTTTTAGGCCTCTTGTGGGCCTCTTGGGGGCCTCTTGGGGGACTCTTTGGGCCTCCTGGGTGCCTCTTGGGCGGAAGGCTCGGATTCCCGGTTCGTGTTCCCCCTTTCGGGCCCCTCTTGGGTCCACCTTGAGGCCCTCTTGGGTCGTCTTGGGCGCCTCTTGGGCCGTCTTGGGGCCCTCTGGGGCCGTCTTGAGGCTCTCTTGCCTCTGGGGCTCTTGGGGAGGTCTTGGGGGCCTCTTGGGACGTCCTGGAGCGTCGGAAGCTCGAAAAGCGGCGAACCCTAAACACAATGAACAACTCAAGGATCATCAATGATTCTGGCCTCTCAGGGCCTTCTTGGGACGGCTCTTGGATGCCTCTAGGGATGTCTTGGGCGCTATTTTCGGCCGACTGGAGACCGTCTTGGGAGTCTTCGATTGATTGATCGGCAATTCGGGGCCTTCTGAGACCGTCTTGGCGGCCTCTTGAGGCCCTCTTGGCCCGTCTTGGGGTTATCTTGGGCCCGAAAAAGTCACGCGAGAAGACACGACGCGCCCCAGGAGGCACGCCAGGAGCCCTGGAAGATTTGGCAATTTGGGGTTCCGGCCCCTTTTTCGAGAATTCTCAGGATTGAGGACTGAGGCATAAGGGGTTAGGCCAAGGACCTGAGGACATTCCAGCTCTTGCCTCAAGGCACAGTGTCGGATTCCATGACGTACGTCTAATTGATCCGAAACTATGCGACCCCCTCCCCGAAACGGGACCCCTCGGATCTCTGGTCCCGTGGGCCTTCTGGACGTCCTTGCAGAGGGTCTCCAGGGACATCCAGGCCTCCTGGACTTCCCTGCCAGGCCTAGCCAGCGAGTCCAAAGCGGTCGGGAGGGGCCCAAACGGCTTCACGAGAGCTCCAAACGGGCCCCCCCCACATTCACCAGACGCCCGAAGACGGTCCAAAGAACATCCCCACTCTGCTTTTGAAGCGCAAAACAACACTCATCTGTTTTACAGTTTTTGTAGAATTTTCAGATGCTCGTTTCTTCGGTCTTTCGGGCGTCCGAGACCGCCCGATAGGCCTTCATGATCGTCCCCAGACTTGCCAAAAAGGCGTCAGACGGCCCAAGGGAACCCCAAGACAGCCCAACCAGACCCAAGATGGCCCCAAGAAAATGTCAAGACGGCCCAAGATGGCCCCAAGACACTCCCCAAACCACTCCAAATCGAGACCCGGTCGTTGAGGGGAACCGCGAAGGGCAGCATGGTGGCCCAAGATTCAGACTCGCCCAGAGGCCCTCAAAAAGACGTTCAGGAGGCCTCCAGAGGCCCTAAACAAGATACAAGAAGCCCTCGAGGGGATCCCAGAACGCCCCTCAAGGAAGGCCCTCCGCAAAGATGAGGACGGGTCAGCAGAACATGAGGACGGGGAAGGGCTCGCAGATAATTGCTAGAATGAGGAAGAAGAAAAAGGAAAAAGAAAGGCAGGGGAAAGCAGAATGAGAAAGAGAACGTTCGCGCAACAATGGAAACAAGGACTCATGCTATAGTTGTTTCCTCCCTTCTCTGAAGGCCGAAAAACCAGGCTCTAGGTTGACGCAGGCAGTTCAACTTTCTGTGCTCGTCGCACTGAGCCCACTTGACATCTACTGGCGATTCGGGTGTTGCACACAGTGATGTTTCACACAGTCGGGAGCGGAGGTTTCGTTCGTGACGGCGCCGGCCTGCCCCTTGTGGTTAGATTAGGATGGCCAGCCACACGCCGAAACGCTGGAGACGGACAAGACAAGGGGTGGCTGAGAAAGTGGGCGTGATGAATATTTGACCAAAGGGTGCGCGACAATGGCTCCAACGCGGATGCATATTATGTCTTGTATCTTCCAGTGAATTGGAGATGTTTGGCAACATTCTGGTTGTCAGCTGAAAACCTCGCCAGAGCTTGACTTCGGCGCGGGGGCTCAGCGTCCACGTGAAATTGTTGTCTTGAGACCAGCCTTCTCTGGCGTTTCGGCCCCAGCTGTCAGAAAAGGAGCAATGGTCGCCTCGAAACGAGGGGCTTTGCAGGTGCGCTCTGAGATTGTTGCAGTGTCCGAGTACGAGTCTGGTAGCTTGGCCCCGATACCGTGAGGGCCAGAATGGGCCTCTCGTGCAAGGTGTCCCATGATCGCCTCGCACCAGGGCCTCCCTCCCATAACGTACGAATTCAGGGCGGCACATTCTGATCTTGGGACTGGTACGCGTTCCCACCTATCTAATTGGGTGATTGAATGCACTCGCGTGCGGTCCCGCTTCCGACGACTTGGCGAGGGAAAGAGCTCCTGGCTGCGCACGGGTGGGACCAGAGCAGCAGAACATCCTTGCGTGGCGTTGCGGCGAAGACGAGGCATGCGCCGCGCCGACACATCACTGCTACCTTATTGAAAAGCCGCGCCGCGCTTGGACGAGGACATCATGTCGCCCGCTCTCGCGCGACCCCGCTGCCCCTGCCGCTTTCGTGCGATTCGGCGGGCCGAGCATGCGCCGCGCCCACGCGTGAACGCCACTTTCAGGCGACATTTTGACCCAAGACTGCCGAAGCGGTGCTGACGGACGCGGCGCTTACGACGCCTGCTGGCGCAGGTTTTGACCCTGCTTGGGCGAAGGGCGAAGGCGACAAGTCGCCCGCTTGTGCGCGGCCCCGTTCCAGACGATTTGGCGAGTTACGATTTGGCGAGCGGGAGCTCAACGCTCACGACAAATGAGTGCGGCGCCGAGGCGAGAAGAAAAGTTCGCCTTTTTCGCGCAGCACGTGCGCCCCGTCCCATTCCAGCCGCGCATTTTGCAACATCGACGCCAGAGCGTCCATGCTAGAATAGAAACAGTTGTCTTTGCATTGTTCTTTTAATGGGCTGGATGCGGCCCTTATCCGTTGGCCCGGTGGCCGACAAAGAGGATTTAGCTAACAGTTGAGAAGGAATGGGGGGGATGACGAAAACTAAGACGATTGCGGGGATGGCGACGACGGCGACGATGATGATGATGATGATGATGATGATGATGATGATGATGATGATGATGATGATGATGATGATGATGATGATGATGATGATGAGGTGGAGGAGGAGCAGGTGGGGAAGGAGGAGGAGGAAGAGGATTGACTAGCTGCATTTCAGGCGCAAATAGTCGATGACTGTTTGCTGAAGGGAGAGTCCCCACCTCGACGCGACACGCCCAGCGCCATTGCAGGAAGGCATGTCGCGCGCACGCGCGTTTGGTTGAGGGCAGGCCGACTTGCGAGACCTATGACGATCCCTTTGACGATCTCAAGGTTGACGGCTCTCTCCTTCTTCCCTGAGGGTAGCGAGGGATGCTGAGGGGCAGCAGAAGGGCTATGAGGGACCAGCGGGGATTCTTGCGTTCTCTTCAGCAAGAGACCTCGGAGGGGTAAAATCATCCCGACGTCGTGGCTGGGGCTCATTCTCTCCTCGGCCTACCCCTCATGCCCCCGCCTCCAGCTCCTCCGACCCTTCCTGCTCTCGAGCCCCCTTGGGCCCCTGATTCCCCGGGGGCAACGCGTGGGCCAAGGTCCAAGGCGAAGCGGAGCTAGATTTCACAAACTTACGTGTATATATACATATATATACATAGATGCGTATATACATATATATATATATATATATATACACATACATACAAGACTGCATTGGCGCTTCGCGCCATGCGCCTTGTTCTGGACGCTTCTCGGAAACGCAATAGGGGGCGTGTTTCAGCAGAGGGGGCGTCGAGACCACGAATACGACCACGATCGCGAGGACCACCACCACCAGCACCACCACCGCCACAACCACCACCACGACGACGACGACGCCGACGACAACGACGACGACGACGATGGGGCTCTCGTCTGAACTGCAGATGGGGCGCTCGTTTCTCGAGGGCCTCTGGAAGCTCCCGATGGGACCAGAAGCGCTCAAGAACTTGGCCCTTCCTCGTCGTCGTCGTCCTCCTCCTGCTCCTCCTGCTCCTCCTTTCGGGCTTCGGGCAGGCCGCGGGAGCGAGCGCTCGGAGCGTCAGTAAGCGAGCTACGCAATAATGAGGCGGCAACCCGCGATGACAGGCCGAGACCTCCTGCTCCTCCGTAGGACGGCGACGACGACGGCGGCGACGACGATTGGTCGCTTCCTGAATGCCTGGAGGGGTCCTGGACGCTTGTGGGGCTTCTGAGGTCCTTTCGAACCACCGTCCTGCGAACTACGGCCTCGTGGAGTGTAAGAGAACTGCTGGAAGCTATATTGGAACGGTGTGGGCTCGCGTTTGAGCTCCTGGTGGTTCTCCGGACCAGAGGATTCCTTTTGGGGCTGTTTTGGGCCGTCTTGGAGCCCTTCTTGGGCCGTCCCGGAACCCTCTTTGGCCGTTTTGGGAGGCCGGGCCGGCCAGGGGCTTTTCGGGGGCCCTCTTGGGACACTCCTGGGGGCCTCCTGTGGCTCTCTTGGGGCTCTCTTGGGAGTTCTCGGGGCCCCCTGGGGCCCCTCTTGGGCCGCCTTGGGCTTCTCTTGATCCGTCTTGGAGCTCTTTCGGGCCGCCTTGGGCCGCTCATAGAGGCCTCGGAGGCCGTCCCGGGGCGATCTTGAAAGTTTCTGGGGATGCCGTGGACACTGTGAAAGTGGAAAAACCTGACTATGTCTTCAAAACCGTACGTTTTATCAAGGAATGGGACGATTTTTGGCTCTTGGAGGTCCCTTTTGGGGCCTCTTGGACCGTCTTGGGGGCCTCGTGGGCCGTCTTGGAACCATGGTGGGTCCTCTTTGAGCGCTGATGGGCCGTCTTGGGGCCCGTTTTGGGCCCGTGGGCTCCGATCGGCAGGGGCGTCCAACTGCCCGGGCGGCCGCCGGGAGTCCGAAAGGGCGTCCAGGGCGTTCGTCGGATGGAGGGCAGGAGCGTCTGGGGTGTCCTGGGGGGGGGGTCCGGTTAAGGGGTGTGTGCGTGGGGGGCTTCTGGGTAATAAGAATATAAGAGTAGGGAGACGTAGCACCCTGATTGTGTGGATAAGGGTGGGGGGACAGCGACGGGCTGAGGCTGCTGGGCTCCCTTTGCGCATTTCAATGTGTGAGTCCCGCGTGCTGATCCCATGTGTTGCCCCATGTACTGTCCCCATGTGTTGCCCCTCCACGAATTGTCCCAGGTGATGCCCCCATGCGTTGCCCCCCATGTTTTGTCGCCGTGTGCTGCCCCCATGTATCGCCCAATGTGCTGCCGCCACGTTTTGCTCCCAAGGGTCGCTTCCAGCAGCAGGCCTTTCTATCCAACCACGCGCACGCAAGGAAACATCAAGACTGCTCGGGCCCTTCACGCAACCAATGTGTGTATACATATATATATATATATATATATATATATGTTTTCATGTGCATATCACTCATGCATGTGTGATGAGATTGAGGAGGCGGCCGCGGACGGAGGACTCTGGGCTGTCAGTGCGCATTTCTCCGCCCCGAGCGGCGACGTCTGCGCGCGAGGCCTGGTCTTCACCCCCCCCTCTCCGCACGGCCCCGGAGGTCTTCCTTCCCGCGGAGCGCAGTGTGTGAGGAGGGGGCTCTTTCCTGCGGTACACGCAGCCGCGTAGTTTTGTGACCTTCGCCAGGCTAAGTTTCCAAACCCTCCTATGTAATTTGTATATATCATCATCACCATCATCGTTATCATCATCACCACCATCATCATCACCAGCATCATCATCATCATCATCGCCATTTGGGATCGTCATCGTCATCGCCATCGCCATCGTCATCGTCGTCATCGTCATCGGCATCGTCGTCGTCGTCGTCGGTTTCGTCGTCGTTGTCGTCGTCTGTGTCGTCATCATCATCAGCACCATCGCGATCATCGTCATCATCGTCATCATCGTCGTCATCATCATCATCGTCATCATCGTCATCATCGCCACCACCACCATCATAATCAGCATCAGCATCACCATCATCATCATCGTCGTCGTCGTCGTCGTCATCATCATAATCGTCATCATTGTCATCCTCATCGTAATCGTCATCATCACAGCCACCATCCTCATCATCATCGTCATTGCCATGATCATGCGGCATTCATGCATTCCTCTCGCGCACACACACACACACACTCAATCATGCCCTCATATATTCAGAGTTGCACGTATATGCTGAGGAAGTGTCCAGCGGGAGCCTCGTCTGTGCATGAGTTACGAGGATGTCTCGAGCGGAGACGCCTCTCTGTGGGGCCAACACCTCATGTTAGTGATCCAGGACGGCCGTCGGAAAACAAGTACAAACCCATGGTCTTTCAAACCTGGTAGCCAAGGAAGTCTCGATCGGGAGCCCCCTCGCCATGGGGCTCGTGAGTCGTGTTCGTACTCCGAGGCGGCCATCGGGAAACTTGTAAAGACATAGTTCTTCTAACCTGAATCTCGAGGACGTCTCGAGCGGGAGCCTCCTCTCGATGGGGGCCGCAATTCATGCTACTAATCCGAGGCGGCCATTGGACAACATGTAGAATCATAGGTTTTCTCACACCTGGCAACCTGAATCTTGAGGAAGTCTCGAGCGGGAGGCTCCTCCCATGGGGACCGCACTTCATGCTACTAATCCGAGGCGGGCATCGGGATACATGTCAAACCACAGGGTTTCTCACACCTGGCAACATGAATGTCGAGGAAGTCTCGAGCGGGAGCTCCCTCCCTGTGGGGCCCGCACTTCGAGGCGGCCGTCGGAAGCGTCGCCTGTGAGTGGATCGTGAGGAAGCCTCGTGCGGAAGCCCCCTTCCCATGGGGCTCGCGCTTCATGTTAGTAATCAGAGGAGGCCATACCTGGCAACCTGAACCTCGAGGACGTCTCGAGATTCACAGTAGCAATCCGAGGTTGTCATCGGAAATCTCTAGCAGAACCCTCGTCTGTGGGTAAATCGTGCGGAAGTCTCAAGCGGGAGACCCCCTCCCTATGGGGCCCACGCTTCATGTTATCAATCCGAGGCGGCCATCGGCAATCTGTACTCGTCGTCACTTTTGGGTTCTTGAGGCCTGCAGCTTGAGAAAACCAGTCGTCTGTGAGTGAATCGTGAGGAAGTCTCGAGCGGGAGCCCCCTCCCTATGGGGCCCGCAGTTCATCTTACCGGTCCGTGGCGGCCATCGGCAAACCTGTGCCTGTCGTCTCTTTTGGGTTCTTGAGGCCTGAAGCTTGAGAACACCTCGAGCGGGGGACTTGTCTGTGAGTGAGTGAATCGTGAGGAAGTCTCGAGCGGGAGCCCCCTCCCCATGGGGCCCGCACTTTCTGTTCGTAATCCGATGCGGTCATTCGATCCCTGCAACTGTCGTCGCTTCTGGGCTTCTGAGGCTTGAATCTTGAGCAAGTCTCGAGCAGGACGGGGCAGGAAAAGGTAGGAGCAGGAAGAGGAGATGGAGGATGAGGAAGAGGAGGAGGGGGAGGAGGAGGATGAGGAGGAGGAGGGTGAGGAGGAAGATGATGAGGAGGAAGAGGCGGGAGGAGGAGGAGGAGGAGGAGGAAAAGGAGGAGGAGGGTGAGGATGAGGAGGAGGAGGAGGGTGAGGGGGAAGAGGGGGCGGAGGAGGAGGAGGAGGAGGATCAGGATCACGACAACGACCAGGAGGTCGAGGACCTTCATCGGCGACGCGCTTATGCCGGTGGAGGCGGCGACGGCGCCAAGGAACACACACACACATGCAATTATACGTATGTGTATGTATGTATGTCTGTCTGTCTGCATGCATGAATGTATGCATGCATGCATGCATGAATGTACGTATGCATGTAAACATGCGTGTATGCATGTGTATATATGCATGCATGCATGCATGCATGCATGCATGTATGAATGCATGTATGCATGCATGTATGTATGTAGGTATGCATGCATGTTTGTATGTATGTTTGCATGTATATATGCGTGCATTTATGTAATCACGAGTATATTTACATACGTATATATGCATGTATGTTTGTACGTATGTCTATATATATATGCATGCATGCATGCATGCATGCACGCATGCATGTAGATATGTATGCATCTATGCATGTATGTTCGTATGCATGTATGCACGCATATATGTATGGATGCATGTACGCACGTATGCAGATCTGTGTGTAATTACGTATGTATGTGTGCATGTGTGCATGCATGTATGTCTGTACGCTCGCGTGTATGTATGCATGTGTGCATGCATGTAGTTGTGTCTGCATGTGTGCATGTATGCATGTATGTATGTATGTATATGTACGTATGCATGTGCATGTACATGTCTGTATGTAGTATGCATGTACATCTGTATATACGTATGTATACATCTATGTGTGCATGCATGTATGCATGCGTGTACGTACGTATGCATGCATGCCTGTATGCATGTATGCACGTATGCATGTATGCATGTATGCATGTATGCATGCCTGTCTGTCTGTCTGTCTGTCTGTATTAATGGGCTGTAGTGATATACATATATTGTAATGCATATATGTATGTATGCATGTATGTATGCACGTATGTCATATATGCATGTGTATATGTACGTATGTATGCATGTATGCATGTAGTGTGTAATGTATGTATGTACGTATGTATATATATATATATATATATGTATATCTTTATGCATGTATGTATGTATGTATGTATGTGTGTATGCAGGTATGTATGTATGCACGCATGTATGTACGTATGCCTGTAAGCATGGTTGCATGCATGTATGTATGCATGCATGCATGTATGTATGTATGCATGTATGTTTGCATGCATGTATGTATGTATGTATGTATGTATGTATGTAGGTATGTGTGTATGTATGTATGTATGTATGTATGTATGTATGTATGTATGTATGTATGTTTGTATGTATGTATGTATGTATGTATGTATGTACGTACGTATGTATGTATGTATGTATGTATGTATGTATGTATGTATGTATGTATGTATGTATGTATGTATGTATGTATGTATGTATGTAATGTATGTACGTCTATCTGTATATGTGTATATATATGTATATGTTTAGATCCGTATTTTCGTATGCTTACATACATAGTTGGATACCAGGTGTATCTAGATCTGTATATACGCAAATTCGCGTGCCCCTGGGAGGAGGAGGGGGAGGAAGAGCAGGAGGAGGAGGAGTAGGACAAGGAGGAGGAGGAGGACGAGGAGGGGGAGAAGGAGGATGAGGATGAGGATGAGGATCAGGATGAGGAGGAGCAGGAGCAGGAGGAATAGGAGGAGGAGGATCAGGAGACCGGAGGAGGGCCTCCACAATCACAGGGACCACGATGAGGTTTTCAAACAAATTTCATCGATTCCTGTGTGGTCCCATCGTCGGAGTAATTGGGTCCTCGTTTTTGAATCCGCAGCGCCGCGCCCAACTTTCCTCACCGTACCTCGTTCCCCCCACATTCCTCCGCTCTCGCCATGCCCATGTGGAAGCACCCCTCGCGCGGATCGTGCCCCAATTGGGGGCTCCACCGACGGCCCCAGTGGGAGGGTCCGCGTGGCGGCATCGCGCCTTTTTCGGCACACCCCTCACGAGGATCGCGCCCCCCTAGAGGCTCCACCTTCTCCGCCCTGGCCCGCATAGCGGCACCGTGCCTTTTTCGGCACGCATCGCGCGCGGATCGTGGCCCCCCCCACCTGTTTTGGATGTCTGGATAAGCTGGATTCCGCCCCCCTTTCTCGCGCCCTACTGCTCTGGATCCCCTCTGTCGGGGGCGCTTTAATGCTCGGCACGCCAAAATGTGAATTCATTCCGTGATGGTAGCTATTATGATGAGGGCGGTGGCAACGGCGACGACGACGCCACTTGTTATCGCCATGATTTGTTTTGTGGGTGCGATGGCGGTCGTATGGTAGCGATAACTACATGATAGTTGTGAATTGGTCGTCGAAGTGATTCGCATCCGACAACTTTTAGATACATCATGGCTCTGTTTTGGGGTGGCGGACTGAAGGCATGGGAAGAGTGTTCGGGTATCAGCGGGTGTTTTGCCCCCTCCCACCCCCGTGGATGCTATACGGTATTTGGGGTGGTGGCGATTCTCGCATTGAGTACGAGTATGCCAAGCACGGTGCTAATTATTTGTGTTCTCAATGAGCAACACATGTACGAACCAGAACTAGACATTGAATTGTGTATGGGGATGGATTCCGAAAGACGGCTTTATAACCAAGCAAAACATACGTCCTTATGTTTCGGTTGTTCGAAGCCGGCCACAGAAACTTGACCCCCCAGCCCTCCAAAAACGTTATTGAAGTCGGATGCGGGGGGTGATTATGCAGGGATCTGGAGTACGAGCGCCAGTGGAAGGGTCTGCATCGCGGCACCGCGCACATGTCGGCAGACCCCTCACGCGGATCGTGCCCCCATACGGAGCTCTACCGACGGCCCTGGTCGGAGGGTCCGCATAGCAGCACCGCGCCCACTTCGGCACAGCCCAAAGGAAGACCGCTCCTGTTTATAAGGAACTACTCCTGCGCAGATCATGCATCCATGAGGGGATCCTCCCACCGCCGCAGGGGTGGGTCCGCATGCTGGCGCCGCGCCCATTGCGGCACGCTCCTCGCGCAGATCCTACCCCCATAAGCAGTTCCAGTTGCGGCCCCAGTGGGAGGGTCCGCATGTCGGCACCGCGCCTGTGTCTGTACACCCCTCGCGCGGACCGCGGCACCGCGCACATTCTGGCACGCCTCTCACGAGTATCGAGCCCTCGCGCGTTGTCGGAATTCCGTCGGGTTGACTATGCATATACGTATGTTTAACGTAGGAGTCAACAGTCGTCGTGCTAACCAGGCGCGGAGTTGCGTTTGTACAGTGTTTGCACGCGGCCAAGCCCCAATGGAAATTGCGTGGCACAACGATGTTCAATCTTGTCTTTGACCGTGTGCGAGAAGAGCAGTGTCTGCCAAGGCGGGCAACTCATGTTAGCCAAAGGAGCCGTTGCAGAGTAGTCTGCCATCATGCTGAGTAAGTCTTGCTCAGGCAATGCCAGACAAGCAACGCGGATCTGATGGGGAAACGAAGGCAGGCTAAAGTGAGCGAGCGCATCCAGACTTGTGCCAGCGAATGCCAGCGAATGTCACCGTCTAAAATGCAGAACCTTTCGAATCATCGTCGAGCAACATAGCTATTGCTTCTAGTTGCCCGTGTTCAATCGGGTACTTACGGTGCTGATGGAAGATGAGGAATCCTGTGCACTTGTTGTGTCCACGATACCTCAGCTTCATTGTTCTTTGAAAAGCGATGCTGGATGTGTAAGGTTGGTGCGAGCAGGCGGGAGCCGATGGGCAGGGAGCCAGGGAATGGCAAGGCTTTGCGGGCACGACGTATATACGCAACGGCTTTGCAGGATCATGGTGAAAATTGCGGACGTCGGCTGACGGCGCCGCAGATCAGCGAAGGCCAACAGCGATGAAACGAAATATGCTAATGTTGGAGTCGCTAGGGGCACGAGGTTGAGGAGGATGAGGTGGGAGAAGAGTCATCCCACCGCAGGACCACGGGATAGGTTTGCCCGCTGCAGCGTCCTGCCAGCATGTCCGCTTGCACAGGCTTGTTCATGTCACAGGTGACGATATCAGGTCGATACCTTTCCTTCCATCTCTCTTCCTTTCCATCCTTTCTTCCTTCTCCTCCTCCCTCCTCCCTCCTCTCTCCTTCCTCCTCCCTCCTGCCCTGTCTCCTGCCTCCAGCCTTCCCTGGCTCCTGCCTCTTCTGTCCTTTTTAGTAGCAGAACCCGCCAGGATGTCCGCATCTACGGCCTGGTTTATTATGGGCGGCGAACCTACGTCGACATCCTTAACGCATACCTCGAGCGCGACCTCCGTGCGAACGGCGGTGTGCTGGATCTCGGCTGGGCGGAGCAGGGGGCGGGGCGAGGGAGGTGGCCTTCTAAGCAGGCGCCCCGCCTCTTGGAATCCCCCCTGCCCTCTAAGAAGCCTTCTTTCGAAGCCTCCGAGATGGGGCCGATCTCTTCCATGAAGCCCCCGTGCCTTCTTTACAAGGCAGCCTTGCGCGCCTCGCCCCCTCCTGCGCGCCGCCAAGGACGGGATCATCTGGGCCATGGTGAAGTACACCATGGAGGCCGACGGTCTCGATCTGGGCCCCCCTCTCCTCCGCCTGCTGCGGTGCTACCCCGCATCTTCCGCTGCCTTCTCCTCCTCCATCCGCTCGTCCGGTCCCCTCCCTCTCCCTCCCGGTGGCCGCCCCCCTCGACCTCCCCCCAGGGTGCCGATGACAGAACTCCGCCTGCACTCGACATGCCGACTTGAGGCAAGGCGGCAGCACAGTGCTTTTTGCGTCTTCTCTGCGCTTCGACCTCCCGCCTTCCCTCCCTCCTCTCCTGGCGTGCCCCTCTCGCTGACTTTTACCTGAGTGCCCCGCTTTTGATTGCTCCTGCGAGCTTGCGGGATTACGCTAGTGTCCACGTGTACTTCCCCTCCTTTCCTTCCCCCTCTCCCCCCCCCCTCGCCTCTCCGTGCGGCCTCTCCCCGCGCTCTGCGCACGACGGAGCTGTCCTGGGGGACGGATGATTGGCCGATCCTCGTCTCGCCTCGCTTCTTTTTCAACGCAGACCTTCTAGCCACGGCTGCAGAGTTTCGAGCACTGGATGGGCAGACTTGCGGTGGATAATGAGAGAGAGCTCCCGCCCCCCCCGTATACGAGAAGGACCTCATCCGACCCATCCCGTATCAAGAGACGGTGGCGGCCGACTATCTCGCACCGATGCCGCGCGCCTCGAGGAGTCTGATCACAGCAGGGATGAGACACTGGCAATCGCCGTCGCCCGCTCCTCTACCTGCTCCCTGCTGCTTGCTACACTGCGCAAGTGCAGAGGCGTGCCCACAATTTGTACGCCCTCCTTCCACCACGCCTGAGCCCCAAAGATGCTGAGGGCCCAGGAGAGCTCAGGGAGATCCCAAGAACAAGCATCCTCGGCTTGGAAGCCGCGGGATGCACACAGCCTGCTAACATACCATCCCTAAAGACCTCCTGGCAGAAAGTCAGGGCGCTTCGGATCGAAGCATTGTCTAGCGCACTTATCTTGCGCGCCCTACGCGCATTATCCTTGCGCCCCCACGGGGAGGAACGCGACCGCAGGGCAGCGTTGGACCCAACAGAACTCGGGCTCCAGATGGACCCCCCTGGGAAAGCGAAAATACAGGCAAGTTGCCCAGCGCGAGTGCGCCGAAGCCAGAGGTCAGAGCTTTCAGGGTTCGAGGGGTCTACTGTATGGACCGTCAGGTTCACATACAACGAGAGCTTCTGAATCCTCGGTGAGAGCACTGAGGCCTTCTGAGCAACAGCTAGCGTGTTCAACACAGAGTATGTCGAAATGATTATGGGCCTTGTCGGGCTCACGGACAGGGGCGGCCTCAGGGGTCGGGGAGGGCGCCAACGGGGGGGTCCTGCAGGTCCTCCGTATCAGAGGAGTCCACCTCCAGCGGCGGCTCACCCGTAGGGCAAGCAGGTGTGATCGCCCTCGTCGCTTGCCAGACCTGGGCGCGGAGCTCCGCAGCCATGGTGACGTCCTGCTCCCTCGCCTTCGCAACCTCCAACTCAGTGAGCGGCTCTGTCACAGCCTCCAGTGTCTTCAAGCATTGACGCTGCTGCTTGAGATTTTTGACCAATCTCAACCTGGTGCCAAAGGCAGTCGCACAGCTAATACATTCAGAACCCTTCGCCATGCACTGCGCGCGGAAATCGGAAGCGTGGGCCCGAGCTCGGTGAGTCTTCCACCGCACCTTTGACGTATTGACGTTCCCACATGCGTAGCACATGTATCTCTCAGCTGGTCCCGATGTGTGCAAGAGTGCCGGCATTTCTCCAATGCTGTGTTTGCCATTCTGAACCAGCTGCCGCCTCCACAACATGTTTTTCTGCAACTCAAGTTCCCAGTGAAAAAAGCTCGCCCAACCACCTGGTTGCGGGATGAGGCTAGTGTCAACATTTACCTCCCCTCCTTTCCCTCCCCTTCTTCCTCCCCCTCGCCTCTCCGTGCGGCCTCTCCCCGCGCTCTGCGCACTACGGAGCCGTCCTGTGCGACGGATTATTGGCTGCTCCTCGCCTCGCCTCGCCTCCCCCTTGCCCTCGCCTTCCATCTTCCACTCTTTCCTCACACCTCGTGCTCACTGGATTTCCTTTGCCTTCTGTCGGCTGTTAGCGGAGCCCCTTTGCCATGTGAGCGTCGGAGGCACGACGAAACGCTCGGAGGAGGAGGAACAGCAAGGATGTAGGGGGTGGGGAGGAGGGAGGAGGAGGAGGAGCAGAAAGAGGAGGAGGAGGAGGAGGAGGACGAAGAGGACGAGGAGCAGGAAGAGGGATTCAGACAATGATGATGATGCTGATGATGATGATGATGCTGCTGATGAGATGATGCTGCTGATTATGATGCTGATTATGAGGCTGATGCTGATTATGCTGATACTGATGCTGGCAATGATGCTGGATGATGATGAGGATACTGCTGCTGATGATGCTGAGGATGAGGACGAGGATGAGGATAATGGTGATGCTGATGATGATGGCGATTATGACGATGCGGATGCTGATGCTGTTGATACTGATGATGACGATGATGATGATGCTGCGGCTGATGATGATGAGTGTGATGATAATGATGTCGATGCTCATGATGTCGCTGATGCTGATGATGCTGATTATGATGATGCTGCTGCTGATGACGATGATGAGGCTGTTGCTGCTGCTGATGATGACGATGATGATGATGCTGATGATGATAGTGATGATGCTGTTGCTGTTGTTGATGCTGATGATGATCATGATAAGGCTGCTGATGCTGATGATGCTGCTGATGATGCTGCTGATGATGATGCTCCTGATGATGATGCTGATGATGATGATGGCGGTGATGGTGATGATGCTGATGCTGATGCTGAGAATAATGATGATGCTGATGATGCTGATGATGATGAGGATGATGACGATGATGATGATGATGATGATGACGATGGCGATGCTGCTGATGATGCTGCTGATGATGATGCTGCTCATGATGATGCTGATTATGATGCTGATTATAATGATGATGCTGCTGATGATGCTAGTGACGAGGATGAGGATGAGGATGATGATGATGCTAATGATGATTCTGATGATGATGATGACGACGATGATGATGATGATGATGATGATGATGATGATGATGATGGTGATGATGATGATGATGATACTGATGATGAGGATGGGGATGAGGCTGAGGATGATGATTATGATGATGATGCTGATGCTGATGAGGATGATAAGGATTATGAGGATGCTGATGATGATCATGATAAGGCTGCTGCTGCTGATGATGATGCTGCTGATGATGCTGATGATGATGCTCCTGATGATGATGCTGATGATGATGATGATGATGGCGGTGATGGTGATGATGCTGATGCTGATGCTGAGAATAATGATGCGGATGATGATAATGATGATGATGATAATGATGATGATGATAATGATGACGATGACGATGACGATGCTGCTGATGATGCTGCTGATGATGATGCTGCTCATGATGATGCTGATTATGATGCTGATTATAATGATGATGCTGCTGCTGATGATGCTAATGACGAGGATGATGATGAGGATGAGGATGATGCTAATGATGATGCTAATGATGATGATGATGATGATGATGATGACGATGATGACGATGATGATGATGATGATGATACTGATGATACTGATGATGAGGATGGGGATGAGGATGAGGATGAAGATCATGATGCTGATGCTGATGCCGATGAGGATGATGAGGATGATGAGGATGATGAGGATGATGAGGATGATGAGGATGATGAGGATGATGAGGATGATGAGGATGATGAGGATGAGGATGATGTTGATGGTGATGGTGACGATGATGATGATGATGATGATGATGATGATGATGACGACGATGATGATGATGATCATGAGGATGTGATGAGGATGATTATGATGATGATGATGATGATGATGATGATGATGATGATGATGCTGATGCTGCTGATGATGATGATGATAATGATGATGATGGTGATGATGATGATGATGATGATGATGCTGATGATGTGATGATGATGATGATGATGATGATGATGATGATGATGATGATGATGATGATGGATGATGATGATGATGTGACGAGGAGGAGGATGATGATGAGGAGGAGGAGGGAGGAGGAGGAGGAGGAGGAGGAGGAGGAGGAGGAGGAGGAGGAGAGAGGAGGAGGAGGAGGAGGAGGAGGAGGAGGAGGAGGAGGAGGAGGAGGAGAGAGGAGGAGGAGGAGGAGGAGGAGGAGGAGGAGGAGGAGGAGGAGGAGGAGGAGGAGGAGGAGGAGGAGGAGGAGGAGGAGGAGGAGGAGGAGGAGGAGGAGGAGGAGGAAGAGGCGGAGGAGGAGGAGGAGGAGGAGGAGGAGGAGGAGGAGGAGGAGGAGGAGGAGAGGAGGACGAGGGAGGAGTGGGATGACGAGGGAATGTATGGGATGCGAGGTTAGTTCCATATACGTATGTACGTATGTATACGCACATCTTCCCTAAGCAGTGTTTGGATTTAGGGGCTTATAGTTGTGTCCCTGAAAGAATTGGATGTGTTCGCCGAGGTTTCGCCATGCTGTTGCCCGTGAACGCCTCGTGTGCGCCCCGTGCGCTGGATGGGTCCGCCGATATTTCTTCACGTTGCCGCCCGTGGGCGCCTCGTGGGCGCACCGTGCGTACACTACAGAGCTCACACAACATAGATTGCGCCACACAGCTTAGACCGAGGAAGCAGACGGCCTGCTTCATCGGGCGCGGGCGTGCACGGCCACCCCTCGAGCTCGGACAGCACAGCTGCGGGCGACGCCGGTGCGTGATCAGAGGTTCAGAGTTCGCGCCAGGTCTTTTGTCGACTACGTCGCGGACGGCAGAATGGCAGCCGGCGCTACGAGCGAGACAGTGGCAGCAACGCACGACGGACGCGTGCTTTCCATTACCTATACGACCACCCTTCGGGTGATAAGGAGGTTCGGGGGGGGGGAGGAACCACCGTCTCACTCGATCGGTCTCACTATCGATCTCACTATCGATCTCATTATCGGTCTCGCT